AGCCGGCCCTGCAGCCAGAAATAGAGCCCAGTTTCGTTAACCGCGCTCCCCTCTCCACCCCGCCCGTGGCTGCCCCAAAGCGGAGGCAGAGATGCCCCGGGTGAGGGCTATGCCTGGGATGGGCGGCATGAAATGGTGACAGCCCGGGACTGAGACCGGGACCGGCTCCGCAGAGCCGAGCCGGACCCTGAGCCCCACACAGCCCTGACAGCAATCCTGCCGAGCGCTGCCAACTTTGCCCGGCAGCTCAGGGCTGTCCCTGCCGTCCTGATCCTGCAGGAATCGGGCACAGGGGGATGGAGAGAGGGTTCGGGGGCTGCTGCGGGCCGAGGCCGGGGTTGCCGGGGCCGCCCCAGCAGCCGCAGGTCTCAAGGTCTCCATAAATCACTTTTCCAGACTCTTGGAATTCTCTTACTCGAGACTGAAATTAAAAGGATGATTTCCGTAAGTGGCACACGCCGGACAGAGTCATCCCCGCTCGGCATTGTCCGTGCCACGGGGCTTCTCCCAGAACCTTCGCCTAACACTTTTGTCGTTTTAAAAGGCAGAAGCTCCGAATTTTATCCGGAGTCCTCTTCTGAAAAGCTGCTAAAGCTTAAGAAAATTATATTTCAGGTTTATTTGAAAAAAAAAAAAACAACCTCTAAACTTAAAAAAACCCACTACACACAAAACAAACCATATACATAATAATAATAAAAATGATAATTATAATAAAAATACTACTAATAATACCAAAAGATCGGTGTTTCTAATTTCCAATTATATACTTAGTCGATGAAAAAAGAGGCAGAATTATTTGTAATTATAATCTATTAACTGAGTTTGGGAGGAATTTTCAGAAAAAAAATTCATTACGGGAATGCTCTGTGAATTTTCGCTCTCCCGAGGACATACGGGCAAAGGACATACTCGGGGTTTTAAAAATTGTGTTAGAAAACAAATTCGCAGGCGCTTTTATCTCCTCTGTGATGGGACACGGAGATGAGCCAGGGCGATTTAATTTCTCAACGCCTGCCGAAGTTAGGGTTCTCCCCTCCCCAAAACATTGCCCGGTCCGGCCCCACGTCCTCTCCCCGCCTTGTCATTCCCGGCCAGAAATAAACCACCGGGGCGGAGAAAAGCTGGCTTGTTTGCTAGAATAAAAATCGGGCTTATTTACAAGATTTTTTTAAAAATATCGTGTTTATTTGGAGGAATTAAAAGTGTGTTCCTCTGCAAAAATAAAAATCGGGTGTACTTGCAGGACCAAAAATCCGGTTTCTTTGCAGAGGGAGGAGCCGCTGCTCGGGGAGGTGTGGGACGGGGGGCTGTGCCGTGTCTCGGGGGCACGCAGAAGAAAAGGGGGTGCCTTGCCAGCCGAGTGCCCCCTAAATGGGGCTGGGGTTCATTCCCCAGCGGGTCCCCCCGGGGGCCCGCACCCAGCCCCGCAGCCGCGGCCCCAGGGCACCACATCCTCGCTTGTCCCCGCAGATGTGCTGGGAATTTGGGGGACAGAGAGTGGCACACAAAGGTGCCCGGGAGGTGCCCTCCTTTTCCCGCTGAGGCTGAATTGCCACTCGGATGCGTTTTCCTCGCTCCGCGGCCCGTCGCACGCTGTCTGTCTGCCCTCCTGGCAAGGACGGGAGAGCTGTTCCCCCTTCAACGAAAACCCGGAGCGGTGACGGCGGGGCCCTGTGCGGTGCCAGCCCGGCC